ATGCTGCTTTTCTAATATTATATTCCCATTTAGACTCGTAATGGTAGACAATTCAAACTTAATAGTAACTTCTTCAATGTGGTCGATCTTGAAACCACAAAAAGGCACTCTGATAACTTGCTATAAACTTATGTACTTACACACGTTGCTCATTTACTTAGATATACTTTTGCAATATTGTATGAGTATTACAAAAGTGGAATACAAGAGTAGAATATTACAAAAATAAAAACAAGAAACCAGAAACAGTATTTTATACAGGTTTCTACATTATCAAACTAACAATATCCACATAATATCCTTGAATCGAACGTTTTAGTTTTCAAAAATTGTAAAATTAGTGTTTGATTGATTAAAAAAATAAATAGTCATCAATTAAAGTGTTTCTAATGGATTATAATTATGTTTTCTCAATATAAAATTTAATTCAGAGTTAACTAATTAACTATATAACTAACTAAAAATCAAGAAAACTTTTTATCAAAAAATAAACTTATATCATTTTTGTTGACTGACGTACATATACACTTTTATATCTTCAAAATAACTTTAAAAAACTGATCAGTATATTTGCATATTTGATAAATAGAATATACAATCACCACCTTATATAATAAAATTCTATACACTGAAAAAATGTTTATAGTGAATTTTTAAAGTCTATAATAGTTCAAAAAGTCTATAATAGTAATACAAAAGTTAATAATGTAAACCCTGCATATAATGAAATTAACAGATTTTGTGAAATTTTGACCATTTTGGAAATCTTATATTTCAAGCATCGTAAACATCCTTCTTGAAATGCTTTTCCGTTTCGGATGTTGATGACCATCATGGCAATTTGTACTTTACACGCTCCTGCTCAGAATAATTTGTAGTTGTTGTGATGAAACAAGTACGTACTTTTTCAGCCAGGAAATCCTTCTCCTTCCTAGTCCATGCTTTTTTGGATCAATTTTTGCAGTTCTCCTTTTTTGTATTTTAGACTTTTGTTTCAACTTGTGATTCAAAACTCGCATTTGAAAATACATCGACATCTCAAAAATAGCTTTTTCACTTCATCAGATGTTTTGATCATTTTTGATGCCAACTTTAATAGTGTCTTTATTGAATTGGCAGAAAATGTTTTCTAGTTCATGACAGTTCATAAGTAATGTTTCTGAAGGCTTAACCAAACCGCCTTCTGAGAGATCGTTTGCCAATGAGAACGAAGTCTTACTATTTGTAGGATTGCCAAACTCTGTTCATGTCGTAGCTTGAAAGCTATTAAACCAGCTAAATTGTCTAGTCCATCCCAATAAAACTCTTCCATTTCAAATCTGTTTGATGTTTTTCATTTTCTAAACTTAGTGTAAGATTTAAATAACTGAAAAGTGGTTTGGTTATCATCAACGAATCTTCTATGCCATTGTGATAACAATCGAAAATCAAAGAGCTTCCTGCTTTCATGTCTTGAAGTGACATGTTTGTTGTTTCTGGTAGGTTACTTACATTAGCTGATAGTGAAATAACTCCATCATTCCGGTCCATAATAAAATTACGAAAGCGGTATTTAAATAGCAAGAGAGACAGATGATCATATAAACCTCCAATCGCGCGCTCCAATCCAATCGCTCCAATCCAATCTACTGAGAATACCATGCTGATAGGGTAGTAATTACTTTAAAGTAGATGTACGAACATTTTTCACAAAATTTTCCATTTTATCTAGTATAAATATTTTGCTCATTTAAAGATGCGTACTCTTTAATATGTTGTCTTGTACCTTTTTGTTGAATTTTTTAATTGAATATTTATTAAACCAGTCAATAGTTTGTTTTATCATTTTAGCACATTTTAGCCAATTGATGTTTCCCAAAGACCCCAATCTAGTTAGTGCCCTAGAAACAGTATCTGAAAACAGTTTTGTTGCCAACTTAACTTCTTAGCGTTGAGGTCCTTTTACTGTTAAAAATTCTTCACCGCTGATTTTGTGAACAATATTCAAATCAACGCGTCTTGTATACTTGAGCAAATCGGCTATTGGTCTAATATTGATCAATTTTTAATTTAAAACATAACCAGAGTCCAAAAAATATTTTCTAAACAATTTTATTATATGTGGTGCATCTACAAAATACATAAATTTTGTTTCAAATGTTGGATTTTCAAACCAGGACTTGTTCTCAGAAATATCTAATCCTTTCCACAAACCTCGATTACTGCCACCCTAATCTGAGTTTATAGCATAAACCAGATAGTCAATGTTCTCCAAACTCTTGATTATTTCAAAGAATAATTGTTTTGTCATTGGCCGATCATAATCATAGAAGACAGGCTGCTTCCATTTGTGTCAAATACCAAGGGCCATAACAACTTGCACATATTTATGAGGTACCAGAACAATATTGTGTTTTTTATCATATTCAAACGTTGTTGGAATTTTCATCTCATCGAAAGTAATTATACAGGCTTTTTCCTGTTATGTCAGCCTATGATTTTTCATGGGCCTCCAAATTATTTTCAATATTCCTAGAAAAAAATATGCTTGTTAGGAATGTACATAATTTAAATAAATTTTGAAAATGTTTACCTGGACGAATTTCTACATTGGACATCCATATTGTTAAGTTCTTACGTAATCTCGTTTCCGTAATAAATGACAATATCGTGGTAGTCCTGCATACAGGGAAAGTGCTGAAGCCACGTCTTCAATGGACCATTGAATTTGCTTTCTAGTTTTTAATTTTCGCAACTGACCTTTAGTAAAAGTTTTTTCTACAGGATCTGCCTCTGACGTTATTTTTTCCAGCATGATTCACTTTTTTTTATTTTCTTCTTCAAGTTGTCCAATTTTTTTTGCATCTTCAATTAGACTAGTCTGAGTGCCAATTGAACGTGAAAGACAACAGTAACTATTTTCTTTGTTGTTACCTTCAATTTCCATGTTTAAAAAACTACATTTTTTTGGCATTGCAAGTATTCACTGATTATAAAATATATTTTTAACTAGTTGTCTTCATTTTTTGTTTCTGTCCGCTTTTTTCCATTACATTGTGATGCGGAACAAGACGGGTTTTCAGTTGGTAAATAAGCATTAGGTATAGCTTTTGGATCTAGTTTTAATTTTGTTTCTGGATAACCCAGCAATTTTTCTTTTAGCTGGTAATCAGATTTAGTAAAATGCTTTGAGTATACACTTGCTTTAAAAACTTTTATTTTTCTTTTTGCATTTCTAACCCCAAATTTAAACCAAAAGGTGTTTTTCCGCTAGAAAGTAACAAAACCGATACTTTGGTGGATTTTTTCGTCTTTTTTTGTTATTGTTGCTATTGCAACCAACTATCCCACCGTTTATCATTTTTAAAATATTGAAAGCACAATCTACTTTTAATTATATTTAAGAATTTTACATGTACCGAAAAGCTCATCTAGCACTATATTCACTTAGGCAAACTGCATAACAAACAACGTAAAACAAAACATTTGACGTTTTGTTGTTCGGTGACGTAATCATAGAAGAGAGAGACAATGTTATTTATGCGCTTGCCTTTATCTTGTTGTCGTAGTATCATGATTCCAGGGAGCTAATAAAGGTTGGGTGAAAAAAATGATAATGGAGATCTTTAGTATAATTATCTCATTCTATTAACTGGTAGACACTCGAATTAAACATTTTGCAGCGTTGCAAAATGTTTCTCTTGCATATGCATTTCTTGAAGCCCCTACCACAGTATAGTGCTTTAAAAAGAATTCTTTTTAAAGCACATATACTGTGACCCTACCGTGTCTATAAAAAATATTCTTACCTAATCTCCGATAGAAATGTGGCAAACATCCGCACAACTTTTTAGATAAAGCAGCACGGCATTCCATTCTGCAAAGCACGTAGGAGTACACAGGAAAATGGGACAAGTTGCTTTCGTAATAAAACCGACATTTTCTTTGTTTCGGACTTAAACCTTTAGTTCTGTCACTGGCGAAAATCGATAAAGCAGAGAGGTACATCTGGAGAAAAGTGCTCTCTTCTGTGTACAAGTTTTTGCTAGCTATGTCAACTGATTCGTACGGGCCGTGAAAGTATATCTGAAAATAATATATATTTATTCAACATTCATTTATTTGGTAAATAGTTTATAGGGACAATTAATTCGATTACAAATAAATCAGAAATGTGCAGAAATGTGTGTGCAGAAAACACTTGGACATACATGTTAATTGTATTTTTTATTACGAAGTTTATAACAAAAACTGTTTATCCAGCGTTCATCATGCAACAGTGGCCGATGCCAACTTTCTTATTCTAAATATAATATTTCGTATATGATACTTTGTCACATGTTACATCTTGTATAAAATAGGTTTTTCTCAATATAATGTGTCCATGATTTTCGGAAATACTCTCTAGGGCTTATCATTTGTTAAATTGCTTCGTGTGTAGAACTTCAATAAGTTGTTTTTTGTATAAAAATTTTCGGAATACAAATTATTTTCCATTAAAATTGGTATGTTATTGAGCTGTCGGAAATAATAGAAAGCGTTGTCAATAACTACTAAACTACTTAGCTCCAAGTTTGGAATCAGTGAGTTTTCAAACCAATCTTCAAAAATATCAGTTTCCATACTCTTGTAGTAGTCAACGTTACGTCAATCCTTTATTTTCCATAATTTTTCATAGTATGTAGTTTGGGTTTATATTTTTTATTTATCTTTTGGTTGGTGTTTCTTTGGAAGTACGCTCCCCTCAAGTTGGAAGTTCCCCTCCCAAGGCCAAATGTCTAGTTCCGCCAAAGTTTCAATCCCATTTTTTTCCAATTTTGAAAAGTTTTTACACATTCTTTGAAGAGCAGTTCATGTTCCGATCGGTTGTTTCCATTTTTTTTTATTATTATTTTCTATTGTGAACTGACGCGTGTCTTCTTCAAAGGTAAAAAAAAGTTATAATTCAAATATTTAACAAAAAAGTTACTAATTTTATTTATAAATTTCATATTGTTTTCTTTTTTGGTGCAATTATTTACCGCGACTATACAAATCAAATAAATACTAAAATACACCTGATATCCACTTGTTATATTGATAACGTTTGCAAATACTTCCCCATCTAAAGGATTTATGTAAAATATGTCTTTTTCTGGTAATAATTTCCAGCTGCCATTGCTCCAGTATCTGAAATAATAAAGAGGCATATTAACATTTCAACCTAAAATTATTAGACATATTATTTACATGAGTGAAAAAACTCTAAGGAGTTGCTCAAATAATTCTTTTTTGTCCTCACGTACAAGAACTTTTTATTCGAAGCACGAAAACATAAGGAAATGTTTCGCATTCTTAAGTCATTATTTTTCAATTCACGCAATAAATAAAGATCCCAACTAATAAGATGTCATATTTTAGTCAAAATTCGACAAAAATTCAACATCATTGTGTATCTCCTAGACTCCTAGTAGGATGATAAACTTTTTTCAGAAGCCGTCTGTCATGAACCAGCCGTACTTCAGGCAATTGGCTTATGGTACATCTACCATTTATTCATAAAATTCTGGAACCCAGTTACCAGCTTGTACAAATCTAGTAGCTGTGCTCTAAATAATTATAGAGTTACATGATAGTCTCCGAAAAGTGTTGCTAATGCCAGGCAGAAATGCAGAATGTGGTTGACTCACTGGTTTAAGTTCTTAACTGATAAGTCTGAAGATAAGTCTCGTAAATCAGTAAGGAAACCTGTTATAATTCTGAGCTGATTCTTTCTTATTGTCCACCATATTTCCGCCCTCTTAGTGTATGTTTATGCAATATATATTTTGTAATGTGCTCGAGGAAATGTACTTTCTGAAACTGACTTTTTGGCTTGGAAATTCTAAAGCCCGCTTTGGACCGAGTGTTTAAAAATTTGAAGTATAAGTATTTTATAGCTGATCCTCTTGTGTCAAAGTCGTTAGTTATTTCGTTGCCTTTTATTCCCCGATGACCTAGCACATGTCTACTCCTTTCAGTTAAGTCGCCCTTGTGTTTGCTGCATATGCGATGTTGTCGAATATTCCCTCTATATCAACAAATGCACCCAGCATCGCCTCTTGCTTTTCCATAACGTGCTCTACCCTCAGTATTAGATGGTCCTGTGCTGCTTCCATAGATAATCCTGCTATGTTCTATAAGCAAATTACCCTTGATGTATCAGACTTTTAACCAACATATTATCCCTAATGTACCCATCGAATAGTTTTTCTAGAGTTTCAGTACAAATAACGATATTAAAGACAGCTTTTTCATGTCCAGTTTTCTATCCTCAGAATGATACTCTAATTCCAACTTCATTCTAGCAAATCAATGCCGTTGTAAATAAATTTGTCTTTGGTCTTAATTGCCATAATAAGTTTCTCCTTTGATACGAAGCTCTTCAATGGAGCATTTTTAAGCAATCCAAAGTGCAATTCATTTAATTGCATTGGCTTGATGAAACAGCAATTTTTTTCTTTATTTGGGGCCTTTTTTTGATAATTTTTTTGCTTTAAATGCACTAATTTTGGTGTATTAATTTTTATTAATTCTTTCTCTGTCAATCCAATTGAAGAAAATACCTTGAAAATCTCAAAATACTTATACCAAACATTGATCGCTGACGTTTGTGACTTTATTCCAATTTGCTCTTTATTACCCACTTAGTTGACTACCGATTTTACTTCGAAGTAAAGTAATAAATTCTTCACAACACAATGACGGTATTAGATTTTAATTCGATACAGAGCAGCGACAAGCCGCATATACGTATTTCGACCTCTTTAGGTCTCCTCAGTACGGTTATAGCCACTACTCCGTATCGAACCAAAATATACGGTATATATATGCGGCTTGTCGCTGCTCTGTATCGAATCAAAATTTAATACCGTCATTGTGTTTTATTTCTTTACTTCGTTTGGAGTACTAGAAATCGAATTCACTACGAATATTGACCATGATGAACGGCATTTGGAATGCAATTTTAGATTCCCTTGCCGATTTATTCCTCAAGCTGTTTGCTTCGCAAGTTTTAGGAAGCACGGTGGCTGATATTTGAATTCGATTTCGCCAAGTAGAAATCGTATGATTTCTCTTTTTGTTAATAAATTTCTTATTTAATTTGTTGTCTTATACAGATGCACTTTCTGTTTATTTCACTAAAACATTTGTAAAGAGCGCTCTGTTTCATTTGAACGACTTTCTCATTGAAAAAGTTTATATAAAATGTTAAATACACTGCCTTTTAATATATTCAAACCCTCTTCTACTTTATTTAACTTTATTATACAGTATTTCAACACTATTTAGCTTAATCTTAAACAACCGAATTTGGACGACCAGAACATTCAGCATCAATTACAACAATTTCTGATCATACAACCGAACGGCAGGTATATAGAAATCGACTAAAACCTTGGATTAACCTCTCAGCTACTCATTTAATTCGACATAAGCGAAAGCTTTGGCGAAGATATAAACTCACTGGTTCCCCTGATGATTTTCTCGCCCATCGTAATTTTTCTAACCGAGTAAAACAATCTTTGCTAAAGTTAAGAACAGAATTTGAGGAATCTATCATTGCAAGTGGTAATAGTAAAAAGTTTATCGGTACATTCGTACATCTTTATCTTCTAAAGTCTCCATATCATTGCTTCAAAAAGCTGATGGGTCTTTATGTTCTTCGAATAACGAATCTTCGGAATGTTTATCGTTATTCTTTTCTCAAGTTTTTACAGATGAATCTAACGATACCATTCCTCAAATAATGTGCCCTCGTTTGTCTAAAACTCTTGACAATATATCTTTCATACCGGATGAAATTAAACATCATTTAAGGAAACTGCAAAATAATTCATCACCTGGATTAGACGGACTTACCTCTTTTTTCCTCAAACAATGTGCAAATTCTGTAGCTATTCCTATATCTCTCATAATGACTGCTTCTTTGAATCAAGGTTCCCTCCCCTCGTCCTGGAAATTGGCTTCAGTTACTCCTGTATTCAAGAAAGGTAATAAACTTGATTGCAATAATTATCGTCCAATCAGCCTGGTTCCTATTGTCAGCAAGGTCATGGAATCGATTATTTCGGAAGCTACGTCCGAGTTCCTTCTTCAAGAAAATGTCATCCCTCACCAACAGCATGGATTTATCAAAGGTCGTTTAACGATCACAAACTTACTTCATTGTGTAAATGATTGGTCATTATCTTTAAACAATCGGAATCCTGTCGATGTAGTTTACTTAGACTTCTCCAAAGCTTTCGATCGTGTTCCAAAACGTCGATTACTAGCTAAATTGGATCACTATGGTATCCGCGGAAATTAAACATTTGGATACAAGATTTTCTATCCGACAGATAGTTCAGGGTTCGTGTTGGGGAAGACCACTCATTAGATAAGCCAGTCAAGAGTGGAGTTCCACAAGGATCAGTACTTGGACCGCTACTTTTTTGTGTCTACACTAGTGATCTTCCGCTCATTGTGTCTAGTAAGGTTTCCATTTACGCTGATGACACTAAGTTATATGTGAATCCAACTATTAATAAACATATTCTTCAACAAGATCTTGACGCAATATTTAAATTGTCCTCAGAATGGTTACTTCCGCTTAACATTGAAAAATGCGTTGTTTTACATATCGGCAAAAATAACCCATCACTTCCGTACTTTATTAATGGACATCCTTTAAACTCTGTAACCTCACACAACGATCTCGGAGTGATAATTTATAGTGACTTAAATTGTTCTGATCACATAGTGTCGGTGTGTAAACGTGCTAACTCGAAACTGTTTTTGATTCGTAAGTGTTTTGCACGCATATCTCTAACCTCTGTTAGTAAACTTTACTCAATATACGTTAGACCTATTCTTGAGTTTGCCGGACCAGTGTGGAATCCAGATCTTAGTCGCGATAAAATCCTACTTGAAAACGTTCAGCGTAAAGCCACAAGACTGGCATACGGCCGTGTAAGACCCAACTATGAAGATAGATTATTCATGGCTCATTTTACGACATTCGAGCAGCGACGTCTTCGAGGTGACCTAATTATGTCCTTCCGTATTTTTAAAACATAATATTGGGAACCTAAACAACAGATTCACTTTGAATGAAGACGATAGATTAAGAGGCCGTCGATACAAATTAAAGAGGGAACAAACTACTGCAAGGTCCAGGGCAAACTTCTTGCCAAACAGAATCTTTAATATCTGGAACAATTTGGATCAAGACACCATATCGGCAGCTAGTGTTAACATCTTTAAAAATAAACTTGATAGCACTTTATTTTTTTTATAGGATAGGATATTTTTTTCTCCGACAGCATTATTTATTTATTTATTGTGTCACAATTCAATTTTCGTTAATTGTTTAACTACTTAACTTTATAATTAGTATTAGTTTTATAAGGATCTATTTTATTTTTGTTTATTTTTGCTTTTTTGGGCATAATAGGAGCTCGCTCCTCTGCCCTTATTTGTTATATAATAATAATAATAATAATAATAATAATCATTTGTGCCAGCACTATTGCGTTTGCATACTTATCAAGAAATTGCTATGCATGAATACTGATTATCCTGTCAAAATGCAAAGGCAATTCAATTTTTATTGGAAATACGTGACAGTTGAGCTCAAATGAGCTCAAATTTTGACAAATAATCTTTAAAAATTGATAGTTTCTGCATACACAGAATTGTTATTGGTGGTGCCAATTATGCAGAATTATACTACCTATGTTAAAATATATTTTCAATTACTTACTCATATGAATTGTAAACAGCAATATGCGAATTTACAGAATAACATATACCCATTTCAGTATACGTCTCTTCAATCCTCACTGCTTTTTCCTGTCCCGCAGAATTGGTAACAGTGACTTGAAAGCGAAATTTGAACTGCTGTATTAAGTTAATAAACTCTTCCCCAGGGATTCCTTCGTAGTCTACCACTGTTTCCAGATTTAAATAGCTAGCTTCCGTTAACGAGATAATAAATTTTTTGAAAAGTTCTTTGTCTTTTATACTGTCATTTTTTTGTACGTAATCATCTAGTACTATAGGATCGTACTTTTTTACGGCGCAAATGGTTACGGGTGGGAAAGAAGTGTTCCAGCTAAATCTGTCTCTTTCCATTGATATTACTGTTGGATTCTCGCGGTATCTAAAATACAATAAGAAAATAAATTAAATATTAAAGTAATGCAAGTAAAATTATTAATCGATTTTCTTTTAATAGTATATACATATTGGGTTTACCCCGAGCGCACATACAGAGCGGTCAGTCGTTCCGAGTTCTGCGTTATTTTTTTTTTTTTTAATTGCAAGCGTACATATATGGCGGTCAATTAACAGCGTTCTAGTTTCATTCCCTGAAACATGTTCATAGGTAGTTCTTCTTATGATGGTTAAGCATTACTTTTGTTGAGCCTGGAGACGATCTGCAGCGATCTGTCCATCTGTTGATGATGGTGTGCAACACGGGACAACTGGCCTTTGACTGGACTGATGTACGGTAAAAAGATCTGTTGATTGTAATTGTGTCGTCATTTTAGGGCTAATAATACCATTATTCCATCCTCTCAACTTTATTAGTTTAATCGGTGCATGAATTCCTTCAACTTCTTTACTATAATATCCATTATGAATATAATATCATACACCACTTTAAATTCTGTATATGACTGTTGCACGTTGGTGTCACATTCATAATACTTCTATAAAATTTGTGTTACAAAGAAACCACATTGATGATCTCCTAAGATAACTTCAGCAATGTTATACTCAACATTTAATAGTAAAAACTCTACATATTTGTAACAATTCTGGCCATGGTGTGTCTTGTGAAAGTTGCTGCTGTGTTCCATTTTTCTACCATTTCTTTCTTACTCAAGATATTTGTTAAGGCCAGTGACAGAATATTATCTTATGACTTTTATATCTTAACTGGAATTTAGTCTTCTCCTAAATTTGTGGTTTTTCAAACTTTCGAGCCTAAATACTTTATCTAAACTATTTGAACTTTCTATATCAGCATCGCTTTACGATGCTGATCTTTCAGGCAAACATTGTTTGTATTTTAAGAACGATTTCCGAAGTTGAAATTGAAACGTCAATAAACGTACTTTAACCTTTAAATGTGGCTTATTCCCATTTAAATAGTAAATAATTGTTATATCGTCTAAGTTGTTTAATAACTTTGGTTTCCAATGGCAACTTGATGAAATGCTTCCTACCAATAAATGCTTCGAAAACATGTTCTTCCACTGTTTTCCATCTTGCGCCTTCTGTATCCAATTTCCGACTGTTTTTCTCAAGTCGTCCATCCATCTTTTTGGTGGTCTGCCTCGGTGTCTTTTGTCTTCTCTAGGTCTCCATTCTATGAGTCTTTTGGTCCACCTATTATCATTTAAACGTGCTATATGTCCAGCCCATCTCCATTTGGCTTGTGCAATTTTTTCTATGACATCTGTCACTTTAGTCCTCTCTCTCACTATCCTATTTGGTACCATATCTCTTCTAGTTATTCCCAACATTGCTCTTTCCATTTTTCTTTGGGTTACTCTTAATTTATTTGCAGAATGTTTGGTTAAAGTTATTGTTTCGGAACCATATGTTATTACTGGCAGTATGCATTGGTTGTAAACCTTTTTCTTCAAGCAAATCGGTAGCGTTCCTTTTAGAATATCTCGCATCTTGCCAAATGCTGCCCATCCCAAGCCTATGCGACGCTGGATCTCACAAGTTTGATTGTCTTTTTGTTTGCGAAACCATCAGCTAGTAATTAATAAAAAAGAAACTCTAGTTACTAGAAATTATGATAATATAAAATAAGTTATAGCATCTTGTTTCAAATTCATAATGATAAAACCCATGATGATAAAAAAGGACAGCAGTACGAGATTTTTTTTTGTTTTCAATAATACTTGAGTGATTATGAATAAAAAACAAGCCAATTCAAGTTAATTTAAATGACAAGTATTCTTTTGTCTTGTAGATTAAAAGAATAATTCATTGGAACTAACGTTCTAATCTAATAGCACACTTCTTTACTGTACAACCACTTAATCTAACCCAAAGGTCATTTTCGTTCTTAAGTGTTTGAGTAATCCATTGACTAAATAAATAATTATTAAAAAAACAACTGTGCTAATAATTATTATATTCACATTTTCCATTTCAAGATTCCGAAATTATTCTATGTTAGAATTCTTCTATTAGTGAATCATCATCAACCTGTATGCGTCCACTGCTGGACATAGGACCTTAGCTCTTTCCATCTGTTTCTGTATTGTGCGGCTTGCATCCAATTATTGCTAACACAATATATAATCTGGCGATGTGTCCTGCCCAATTACATGTTAACGACGCGATTTTTTTGATAGTCTCTGTTGTTTTTCGAATCATATGCGACGTGGGAGCTCACATGTCTGGTTATCTCTGCCTTTTCTGTATTTTCATTTACTTACGTTTTGAGTATAACAAATTAGTGAGCGAAATGTTCTTGCGTAGATATGTTGTGGAATGCAAATTTAGATTTCCCATGTCAGTCCATTCATTGTTTGATTTGCTTTGAAAATTTTAGAAGGCACAGAATAACGCAATAATCTGAATTTTGGTTTCGAAAACTCAGAAATCATCGGATTTCGACTTTTTGTTTTTATTCTATATTAAATAATAGCTTTAAAACGCTTTATTGCGGTCATGTTTGCTTGTTTTTGACAGTTTTGACGTTTATGAAAATATGAACGTATTCCTTAAGTTTTTATTCAAAACTTGTTCCTTTTCCCTCCAAATCGTATGCAAACGGTTATTAATGTTTTAGTGCATAGTACCTAATATAAGACAATTTTAATTAATTAATTAGACATTATGAAACAGTGCATAACATTTCCAATGAATTTTTATTTTCGGAAATTTATAGGGTGGCCACTTTTTTGCCGGTCAGTGTATTAATCGCATTTAGCAAAAGCTTACTATTACGCTGATGAAATAAAAGCCATATATTATGGCACTGGGATTCAGCTCGAACAGCTGACGTAGTGGGGATACCGAAATAACTGTTATATCGTTCTACACGTGCTCTATAGACCTTGAAAAAGCATTTGACAAGGTGTAACATCAAAAATTATTTCAGATACAGAAAGAATCTAGTATTGATGACAAAAATTTGCGCGTAATTAAAATTTTATCATACAGCAAAGGGCAACTGTACTAGTAGACAACGAAACCTCACAAGAATTCACGATAAAATGGGAAGTACGTCAGGGCTGCATTTTGTCACCGACGTTGTTCAATACTTACTCGGAAATGCTGTTCAGGGAAGCTATTGATGGTTTCAGAGAAGGTATAAAAATCAATGGTAAAATTATAAACAATTTAAGATATGCGGACGATACGGTTTTTATTGCTGATAATGCGGAGGATCTGCAAAGATTAATAGACCATGTAGGGGAAGCTTGTGACAGATACGGCATGAAAGTAAACTGTAAGAATACCAAAATTCTTGTAGTAAGTAAAAACAACGAAAAATAGTCGACAAAATGACATATCTTGAATACAGCCTAAATAAGGAAACAGGAAATAAGATGTCGTATAGAGAAGGCAAGAGCTGTCTTCAATCGCCTCAGGAAGATTTTATGTAATATGCACCTGAACATTGATATAAGAACACGAGTCTTGAGATGTTATGAATTTTCTACCCTTTTATATGAAGGCGAAGCCTGGACCTTGACGACATCTAAACGATTAGAGGCCTTCAAAATGTAGTGCTACCGCCGCATGCTCAGAATTTCCTATATCCATCATATTACAAACAACACCGTGATCCAACGTATGAATAAAGTTCTGGAAATTATGTGTATCGTGAAAGTCAGAAAGATGGCATACTTAGGGCATGTGATGCGCAATGAGATGTGTCAACTAATTCAACTAATTTTACAAGGCAAAATAGAAGGCAAAAGATCTCAAAGGCGCAGAAGGACATTGTGGTTGAAGAACGTCAGACAGTGGGCAGGAATGACTACCATACATCTATTTAGAGCAGCTGTCAATAAAGTTGTATGGACCAACATGATTGCCAACATCTACAGAGGATAGGCACCAAAAGGAGATCGTTCTATTGATTCCGATTGATACGTGAAAAGTTTGATTAATTATACTAAGAATAATTTCTCTTGACTAGTTATATATTTTTTAATGAATTTTTATATAAAAATTCATTTTTTTATATATTTTTATATAAAAGGGGAATTTTTATATAAAAAAACTAAAATCTAATTAATCTTACCTGGTTAACGTTAAGGTGCTTAAAATAGCAGCCCCATATACAGCTACAGCTACGATGGCAACCCAAATGGCACGTTCTATAGGATGGCGTCCATCTTGCGAGATATGTGGAAAGCCATGGATTGAACTCATATCGAAAAATAACTTAATGAATTCTGCTAACATCGTCAAATAGGAGGTTTTGTTTTTAACCTCCGTTTTATACATGTTTGATTTATGCTTTCTTGGCATATTTACGAAGTGAGTAGGTTTGTAATGTATCCACAAAATGTACAATTCTTGATTATTTGTAAATTGGCTTTAAACTTTACCAAGTAAAATTAGTTTAACTTATTGAACAGAGGCATGTGGAAGAGAAACCACATTCTAGCAGGCTGGAAAAAACGTAACGTTATCAAACTTTCCAAAAAAAGTGACCTAACACTGTGCAGAAACTGGAGAGGAATAACCTTGTTTACCGTCATAAATAAAATTCTCACGACCATTATACTGAAAAGACTAACAAAGTTGAATTTCGAGCCAATCAAACAAAATTTAGACCGTAATTATTCTGCATAGATCACATCAAGACTGTGAGGGTAATAAAGGAACAACCAGTCGAATTGAACACAATATGCTTATGACCTTTGAGACTTATGATTACTGGAGTGAGACAGGGATGCGTGCTTTCTCCGATTCTTTTGATGCCCACCACAAACTTAGAATATATTAATTATGGAAGAGATGTGAGGTCAAGGAAACTCTTGGAACAAGGTGAAGGCCTTAGCACAAAATCGGACTTGATGACTCGTTTTTAGCGAAGCTCAGTACTCCTCTTAAAAATTCAGGAACCTTACATATACTTATTAAACAGATTTTCAGTTAAAAACTTTTTATTAGGAAATCTTTATGCTCTGTAGAACATGTTTGATCAGCTCTCTTATATGATGTTGAAGCATGGACCTTGACAATAACCTCTATTAATCGCTTATAGGCTTTTTAGATGTGATTGTATAAATGAACACTCAAAATACCGTGGATTGCTATGCAAATAAACGAAGCACTTCTAAACAGAGGGAGATAAAGTTTTACCATAACAGTCACCAATATCAGGGGACTCGATAAAATACGCAAAGAAAGAAGAGGATACAGAACAATAGCCAAAGTTAAATAAAGATTTAGTACTAAAATAAAGTGGAATAGAATGGAATCCAATCCAAAAACACCATGTCCTTCGAAGAGGAAATTCTGAGATGTCTAGAGACAACAAATATAGACGTTATGGATATCGAAACCTTAAATGATAACTTAATAAAATTCTATTAAGAACGGAGAGAATAAGTGCAATACAAATTCTAGGAGAGATAAGGAGGAAAAGCTCAGTCAAGAAACAAAAAGACTTATGGAGGCACGAAGAGAACTTAAGAACAAAAACGATACGAATGCACGCCGTACTACAAAACTTAATAAAGATATTAATAAAGCAGTGAGAAAGGACGTACGACAATATAACACAAAAAAGATTACAACGGTTGTCGAGAAAAATAAAAGTTTAAAAGTGCTGAAGAGATGTCAAGCTCTAGGTAAGAAGAACATTGTTAAGCTCGCAGATCGAAATGGAAAAGTGGTAACAGATAAAGATAAGATAATTAAGGTAGTTGAAGAATTTTACACAGAATTATATAGAGAAAGGGGGAAGAAAGACGGCACCAAGTTGAGAAAAGTCCAGAATGTGGGTTCAGAGGATATCCCAGAAATAACAATCGAAGAAGTCTTAAAGTCATTAAATAGAATGAAAAACAATAAAGCAGCTGGTGATGATCAAATCGTTATTGAGGCAATTAAAGCAGGAGGTAAGACAGTATTGAAAGCATTGACGCAATTATATAACTTATACCTTTCTAACGAGGTTACACCATCTCAGTGGAATAAAGCTGTTATAGTAGTCATGCACAAAAAGGGAGATATAACAGAGCTAAAGAACTATAGACCTATTAGTTTGTTTATCTCACGTTTATAAGTTGTTTATGAAGATAATCAATTAATAGGTTGACATCAAAACTAGACTTCTATCAACCTTGCGAGCAAGCAGGATTTAGAGCTGGATACGAAACAAATGATCATTTGCAAACCATTAAGTCGTTGATTGAAAAAACCATTGAATATAATAGACCCCTGATACTTGTCTTTGTCGACTTTGAAAAGCATTTGATACGGTCAATCAAAGTGAAGTGCTCCAAGCTCTAACACAATGTAGAATAGATCACCGATTACATATCTCTCATCAGATACATCTATCAACATGCTACAGCCTGTGTAAGACTTAATGAAGATACTGGGACTTTTCGTATTGAAAAAGGCGTTCGGCAAGGAGACAGCATGTCTCCTAAATTATTTACAACTTTGCTAGAATACGCTTGTAAAACAATAGATTGGAACGAAAAGGGCATCAATGTAGATGGAAAATTTTTAAATAACCTTAAATTTGCAGATGGTATCGTTCTTATTGCAGACAGCTTTGATCAGGCACAGATAATGCTCCAAGAACTCCATACTGCCACAAAAAGAGTTGGTCTTAAAATAAATTTTTCAAAAACACAATTTATGACAAATTTAGTCAAGTTTAGTCAAAACAAAAACATCTCAGTAGAAGACAAAGATATTGAGCCAGTTGTCTCCTATAAATACTTAGGCCATGAGATCAGAATAAGTCGAGACAATCAAACAATCGAGCTGAAAAGAAGAATAAACCTCGCTTGGCTGCATTTGGAAGATGAAGGATATTTTTAGGTCCAAGATTCCAATGTGTCTGAAAAGAAAAGTATTTAATCAATGTATTTTGCCAGTGATGACCTATGGCGCAGAAACCCTAACGCTCACAAGAACAACAGTGAGTAAACTACAAGTTGCGGAAAGAGCAATGGAGAGAATTATGTTAGGGATTTCTCTACGTGATAGAATACCCAATGCTACTATACGCAAAAGATCAGGAGTAGCAGACGTTATTGAAAGGATAACAACACTAAACTGGAACTGGGCAGGTCATGTAGCAAGATCAGTTGATGACCGGTGGACAAAAAGAATTTTGGAATGGAGACCCCGAATACAAGCTTACAGAAATAGAGGTCGACCCCCAACGAGATGGACAGATGACATAAAAAGAGTGACTACAAATTGGATTCAGATGGCGCAACATCGGACTAAGTGGAAAAGCATGCGATGAGGCCTATGTTCAGCACGTGGACGTTAGAGGCTAGTTGATGATGACTAAAATAAGGTGAAAAATGCTAAAAAATGGTTCTAGCAGATAGTGTAACAGTGAAGAAAGGCCCCAGAAGAAAAAGGTTTCAAAATTAGGACAAACACAGCATCACGCAACAAGATAAAGGCAGAAATAACAAATAAATCAATTGTCACACTTCATACATAATGTGGTGAATGTTACCTTTCTGAAAAATGAAAGTGGCTCTTGTCTCAATTTTTATTTATATTGCTTCTAAATGATTTGATTACTAGTGACTTAGAGCTTCAAAACGCATTACCTTGGAACAAGCTTTATACAAAATAAACGTTTAAAAACTATGTGGTAGAAATCGTTTGTAATATTTTATTCATTATATCTTTTCAACACAGTCAACGAAAATCATTGTCGATTATGTGACAATAAATGTTTTGTTGGAAACTTTGAATAGGTATTCTAAAATCATTATTGTATTGTATAATTTATTAATAAAGAGAAAAACACGACTTGGTAACGTAATTTTTTGATGTTATCTTAAACTTTGCGTCGTGTATACGAGAAATCCCCATCATTGATTAGATAATAATTATTTGATTTTCAATTTTTTACAGCGCGTGTTTAAGAAGCGAAAGTGAAGTGTTTTGTTGATAATTTTGATAAACATACTTAAATAGTGGATGTTTACTGCCTTATAAATAGTGTAAGTGTATTTACATTATCAGTTATCTTATTCTTGTCAGTATTTTAAATAACTTCGCAAAATATTACAAATACACACCGCGAGGTAGTTTGTTTCATTTATTAAACTGGCATATAGTGGTTTTGACCTCTAATGTAACGAAGGGAGCACAAGTAAAAGATGTAGCTAGGATATGACGCACTAAAAAACGTACTCAAAGGAATTTACTAGGCATAGATAAAAGGAGCATAGATAAGAACATTCTATAAGAAAGTTAACATCACCAGAAAAGAATTCAAGCAAACACAAATCAATGTAGAAGTTTGAATGGCGATCTATTAACAACAAGAACAGACGTACTAAATCGATGGACGGAATATTTTAACCAATATACTTAATATAGAGGAAGAAGAAAACCCGGAAGACGAAAGCTGTGAGGTAAGCGGAGCAGACGAGAGGGAGGAGAACCCACCAACGATCGTAGAAGTTAAAGACGCTGTCAATAAACTAGTCAGAAACAAATCACCCGGAATAGATAATCTTCCAGCGGAATTATATAAAGAAGGTGGCCACGATATCACAATAGCGCTTACAGCAGCTTATAAAAGAAATATGGATACAGAAGTCCCTCCCCTGTGATTGGAATATTGGAATACTTTGCACCATACACAAAAAGGGAGATATCTTTGAATGCTCTAACTATCGAGGAATTACGCTCCTAAATGCAGCGTATAAAATATTCTCCAATATACTATGCCATCGTATGGCACCGTATGCAGAGCAAATAATAGGACAATACCAGGCTGGTTTCAGAGGTGGTTTATCAACAATTCATCAGATTTCAACCCTGAGACAAATTCTAGAGAAAACTCTGGAATATGGTGTAGACACGCACCACATATTTATAGACTACAAGGCAGCCTACGACTCTGTAAATAAAAGAGAATTGTTAGACCTGGGAGTACCAAATCAGTTGGTAAGTTTAACCAAACTAACCCTTGAAAAAGTTTAATGCAGAGTACGAATCCAGGAGGAACTATCTGAACCTTTTAACACAAATAACGGGCTACGTCAGGGAGACCCACTCTCCTGTATACTATTCAATCTAGCTCTGGAAAAAGTAATAACGTACGTCACAAATCACAACTACCGGTTCAATATATAACAAATCTGTGCAAATCCTAGCATACGCTGATGATATCAATATTGTTGGTGAGAACGGAAAACGCAGCACGAGAGGCGTATGTAGCACTAAAGGAAGCGGCTACAAAAATGGGTTTAATAATAAACATTAATAAAACGAAATACATGAAAGTAGGTCCGCAACCACAA